TTCTACCAAAAATCTAATACGGTGGAAAATGCAGTTTAATACTTTTGAATAGCCTTCATTTTCGCTAAATTGATTTATCAACTTTTAATACTTTTTAAGACCCTGCGGACACCCTGATACATAAACATGTGTCCCCTCTGTGTAAAGAGATTCGGAAAGTTTCATGAAAAAATATTCGCTCACTTTTTGTCCTGATCCATTTCTATAAAAACCTGTCTGAAAATGAGCTGATCAGATTTTGGCCACTTTATGATGTCATTACGATTTTTTGGCTTGTGTAACCATTAGCCAATCACCAACCAACGTAACACCCCCACCTTATCACCTGAATCTCCTCCTAGAGCACCATTGTGCATGATCTGTTTGGTATTTCGAGCCAAACACTTCAGAGACATGTTTTGTATATATCTGAGACCTATAATATGTTGATGAAAAACAGTACAATAGGGGACCTTTAAATACAGCACTGATAGAACATGGACAATTCTAGTGTTGAAATACAAGAAATATGTTGCTTAAGATGTGTTCCTGCAGGAGGTTTTCAACTTCAGAGCTAGTATCAAAAATCCTACGTTCTCCTTCTGCCAGTCTTCATTAGCTGACAAATCAAAAAAAGTGCATGGTGAGATAGTTATTGGAAAAAATAAGTCCATACCAATAACAATTATTATTATTTTCCATTATCTAATAGTCTTCCCTTACAATCCATAACCAATCTGAATCAGCAACATTCCTGTATGGGTATAAGTGATAAGTAATGAATTAAGATATTGATGAGGTCTTTAGCCAGGGTCATAACTGGCTCCAAGAAGTCAATAATTATCCAGATACGAATATCTTTATTGCAAAAGTGCATACAGCAGCAAAAAACCATCACCACACCAAAACATTCCTCTATGGTGTAATTGCCACTGCTTGGAATTATAGTTTTCATTAAAACAAAATGTTCAAGGTTATTGATTGCTTAAATAAGACTCAATATCTTCTCATTTCAAAGCCAAATGAAATTGCTTGGAAAAGTAATATCACCCAACTATTGTGGGCATTCATCACAGTTACACTGCCTCATATCGCTGTCCTTGGAGGATTATTAGAGCAAAATAAGTGTATTTAAATGAGTGTAATTTCTAGGAACCACAGATCCATGCAAAAACATCTGTATACACGACGCAGCCCTACTTCATCACGGTGCGCACACACAATCACCAGAGTGGAGGGCAGATATCAAATACAACCACATACTGTTATGGGGCTCTACTCTAATCACAAATCCACACATGAATGCATTTTATAAGCTCGAAGCTGTTATACATTGAGTGTTTGTGGCTACAGCTAAGCCTTATGAACTCTATAATGATACATCAAGTTGTACAGTACCTCAGGTGTCTCTGATCCTGTGTCTTCAGTAGTGCGCCCTGTGCCTCCTCGCCTCGAATAAACTCTGCTCTGATAAAAACACACAACACACGATTCACAGAGGGAACCATGGAGACAGAAAAACAGTATAGCTGCTGGAAACAGGTCTTTTGCTCGTGCAATTATAGAAATGGTGATCACTATAATTGCTGGTTAGACCATTTGATGTGACCTGAAAAAACTAGACATAATAATAAAGTGAACTACTGTATACTGTATGTGAAATAGTAACTACGTGAAACTCATACATAGGGTGCTTACATCCTTACTGGAAGCTGCAGACAAAGAACTCTGCAGACAGAAGCTGTCTGAATCATGGAGGGAGACAGAAAAACTTCCATCTTCGTACTCCTCGTCAACTATCTTGGCCTCAACCTGCGGGGCGGGAGAAAACAAGATCCCCCTTGGCTTACACTGTACTCTACTGCTGTATTGATTCTGCGAAATATTTATATATTTGTTCTACTGAGCATTTGTGTCTGGGTCTTATTCTGAGCAGAACATTATGTTATGCTGCCCTAGAACTGTTTTCTCAGCACACAGAAAGGTTTATTGGAGGAAGATGGGGAGAGATGCTATAGCAGCAAACACTGGTCCATCAAACACAACTAAGCTTGCTGGGAGGATCCACTTTTATTTGTCTTCAATTACAACAATCTCTAGATGTATGACCAATATACAGTAAGCTATAATATATATTTACAGTGGTGTAAAGTAACTAAGTACATTTACTCAAGTACTGTACTTAAGTACAATGTTGAGATACTTGTACTTTATTTGAGTATTTCCATGTTATGCTACTTCAAATCCATTAAACATTTATTTATAATACTTTTAGTAAGCTTTGCAAGGTTTGGATTAAAATGATGTGAAATATAATCAAATATTCAAATAAGACTTCAGTTCCCACCTGGAGTCCAAAAAATTCTCAAGCTACCCCTGCAGTATACAAAGTAATTCAAACTAGCTGCACCTTTACCAGATGTAAAAATACTTTAATGCATCAATAATTATAATCAAACATATAATATATATTATTCTGAAATGGACCAATCTGCATAATTAGTACTTTTACTTTTGGTACTTTAAGTATATTTTGATGCTGATACTTCTGTCCTTTTCAACCTATTGAATACAGGACTTTTACTTGTAACAGAGTATTCCTTCACTCTGCTACAAGTACAATATCTGAGTACTTCTTCTACATCTGTATATTTATAATAATATAATTAGTTGGATATATTTTGCATTCGGCAGAGGACCAGGTGGCTCATGGTGATGTTGATGATATTGTTTTTAGACTGGAATCAATTATGTTCCTGTCATTTCCTGTCAGATAAATAGGAGCAAGCTGTGGAAAGAGTGTATGCTAAAGACCTGATGAGGTGGCAGTTCAGTATGGGGTTGTGCTTTACCTGATCAATAGGCAGGTCCACCTTTAACTGGTCGTCTTCCTGCACCTCGGCTGCTCCTGCCATCTCCCTTCTTTTGTTTTGTGCATTGAACACACTGCCCTCTGAGAAAAAGGGATTAATCACAATTACCTCATCCGCTGGCCGTCACCGGCTCATTCTTCTGCACACTCATTCTCTCCCTCTCTATACCCCTCCATCCCTCACTGCCCTCTCCCTTTGCCTCTCCTGCTCAACTTCACCAGAGATCAATGCTGCTGTCAAGCCATTTATTTATTTAGAGTGGTCCCACAGACCAAAAGGGCTACAGCTGCCCTGCCACAAATATGGCCAGCCAGCGTGAACTCTCAGACCAGGGTTAGTTCCTGACAGTGACAGGTCGCTCAGGTTGATGCATGTGGAGAATAGCTCATACGGCAATGTCACATTGTTTTTCCCTTGTAAACAAACTCCTTTTTTTGTCTGCGGCTGCTGGACGGGGCGGAATGTGAATAATTAAACACGCTATTGAGCTAGAATCTACTTCATTAGTCTTAAGTCATTTCATTTAAATAATAAATAACAAAGCACGGTAGATTAATTAGTGAAAGGAACAATGTATAGAAAAATGTGTGTGGTTAATAGCTCAAAGAAGCAATTATACAGACACAAAATATGCAGGCTTCATTATGTTTTTCAATCAGGTGGAAGTAGGAGAGGAAACGCTTTGATCTCTTTTTGAAGTCACTCAAAGAAAATGTTTTAAAAGAATGGAAGAAATCTGGTGCCAAAAGCTCAGACACTGTACCAGATGCTGATTTCAAACTCTGCGCTATTTACTGTTTAAGGGTCATAAGAGATTATTTAAAGATGACTTGCGGATTCTATCTTATAACTCTTTCAATTGTGTGTTTTGTGGGAAAAAACGGTTCCTATAGGCATGAAAAAAGGGCCTGAATGTCGCCGGAGAACTGCAATCCAATAGTGACTTACTTGAGCTGTACTTAAATCAGGTTTTAAAATTGTTTGACTGATATAGATCATGCAATGTTATTATTTGTTTATTGATTGTTATCAACCTGTCTGAGGACCACAGATGGAAATGAGCTATTAGCTATAATCTGTCATATTGCATCTCTTCTCTCTGCTGAGATTAATGTTTTTGTACGCATGGTCCTTCTATAAATAAATACAAATAAATACGAACTTCTATTTAATAATGGGAAATTGTGAGCACTAGCCCACCTATGCTACTATATACTGTATCTTCGTGTTAGATGTGGTACAGTGCAGATGAGTCTCTTGAAGTTGAGACATTGTATTATTGTGACAAAACACCCATGAAAACAACAACTGAATAATGTGGATCACAAGCACACAATATAACTGTGTATAAATACTAAACACAATATCCATTTTAAACAGCGCCCAATGCTTAAAAGTTCAAACCATTAATACAAAGCAGTGTTTTGTCACTTTAACAGTCTTTCATCAGCGCTCTTTGTGATTAATAACTTATTAGCATTTTAATCTCGAGAAAATTAGAGCATTTTGTTTTCGCCCACATAGTTAACAAGGCTTTCTGGATGCATATTCAACAAAATGGCCTGATTGAATTCATCTATGATTTAAGCCTTTTAGATGAGGTTTGAAGTCTTGTTCTGTTTAATATTCACAGAAAGGACTTTTGTTTCCTTCAAAGAGCGGGGAGCTGGGTTCTATTGGACTTAAAAGAACAGGCAGAGAATCTAAAATAATCTGTTTCACCTGCCAAATATATATATTTTATATGTTTCCAAAAAACCTTAAACTCACAACTTGTATAACGAAGCAAATGCCTACATGTGTGCCTCTAGACATGAACACACACTGTACCCAAACACATGCATCTACATTTCTCTTCAAAATACCAACAGTATTCTTCATAGGGTCTAATGTCAGAGGGTGTCGTTTTCTCATATTGATATTCTGCACAAACTGTGCAGTTGTATTTGCTGTATAGTGTCCTTACTGTAAGGTAATTATTGTACAGCATTTTGGCTCGACCAAAAATCGTTTTAAAAATGTGCGGTATAAATAAAACTTGATTTGATTTGATTCATATGCCCTTAGCTGTAAAGTAGCTATTGGAGGGGAAAAACCATTGGAAGGACCCGGAGCTGAAGAGAGAATATTTTTTCTATAGAATTGCTCTGCTTACCCCCTGTGGAGGAGAGAACTGGGTTTCTGGACACCTGCCTCTGTTGTTTGGTTCTCTCCGGTTTGGCTTGTTTCTTCATCTGGCCCCTGGCTGTGTGCTCAAGGTCCTCTCTAAAGCCTGTGTGAGCAAACTACACGACGAGACAAAAGAGAGAAGAGAACAGGGGCACAGATTAAGGCGTATTTCCTCAGATTTCTCTGCGATTCATCATCGACTTTTGCTGTTGTTTTGTAAAGAGGAAGAAGAAAAAAAGACAAAATACATCGGGGCAAAACTTGTTTTATCCTTTCTTCTCAACGCTTTTTTACATTTTCCATTGACCTCAATTTTTCATGAGCTGATATGCTTTGTAGGTCCCCCGTGACTCCTACTGTATTGAATTCATCTGGTTCCAATACATCCCGTGCACAACCTATCAATCACTGGGGAGCGTGGCAAACTAATCATTTATTGATGAAATGGGGCAGCCATGAATTTCTAACTGCATTTGTCTTATTTATCAAGCCAGATCAAACAATGAAAATCCAAACAAGCTTAAAGGGAAAGGGAGGGAGTCGTAGGGAATAACTTATTCTTCAACAGCAGACAGCAGAAGGTTATTGATGGAGAGGCGAGTGGGGAAAAACAAGCCTGGGACTTAGTTGCATGGTGGTAGAGAGTGAAAAGGAGAGAGAGCAGTGGGGAGAGTTCAGAGTGATGTTCAGACAGCACATCTGAATTAATGCTTCCACAAAAGGCAATTTTCTCCTCACAGGCTCCTCATCCCCTCTGTAGGTAGCAAGGTGAGGTATGTCTCCCTTACAGAGACACAGACACAGAGCACAGGATGGAGCAGACTTAATGTTTCTTTTTCAGCTACAGTGCTCTTTACTGCAGCTACCTGGCTGGATCCCTGGGCTGGCTCCAGGGATAGTGTAGTGATCTCAGGCTTCCACTAGAATACACTTCTGGCAATGGTGTTTGTAAGCTCGCTAACATGGCCCTGGGGGAATAGCAGCGTTGTTTCCTTCACTTGTTTGCTTTCTTTAATGCACAGGCAAAGTCTGTTGGTATTCTTTTGAATCTCTACAGCCGTTGGTGGGCCGAGGGAGGAAAAGAAAACAACAAAAGCAGAGTGAAGTTTGTATATTCAACGGAGGAGAGTTGAAACAGAGTTCACACTGCAGCGCCGCAGTGTCCACAGAACCACACGAGATCAAAGACAACAGAGCAGTGGCACTGTCGCATGTGTGAGCTGTCAATTCCGTTTTTCGCCAACCTCGATTCGTCTAACGAGTGATGCGGAGCGACTTCAGCGCAAAGTTCAAAATCAAAATACATCTGGGCAATCAAAAATGGTACAGCCTGGTGGTGGGATGTAAATAGATCTTATTTAAATCAACAAAGTTAAATCAAGACTGTCTCACTCGGGGAGGGGAAAGCAGAGGACGAGGGCCGCCGCAGAGCCGGGAGAGTACAGCACGAGTAGCAGCGAGACTGGAAACGCAGCAGTGGAAAAGCTGAGGTCATCCCGCCTCTCGTTCTGCATTACATATCTACAGTATGTGTCCTGGGGGAGCACACAACTCTGTGTATCAGGGGGCCCCGGAGAGAGAGGCCAAGAGAGAGGAAGAGAGTGCTAAAGTTAGTGTGAACGGGACTCAGGGGGACCGAGCAGCAAATAATCTGTGGCCCTCTCAAGTGGCAGAGAACGGGAGTCAACAAGAGGACGCCGTGATATGATAGCTAGGGGAAAACGGGGGTCCCAACCAATTTGACCGAGCAGCCTCCATCCATACTGGCTGTGGTATCAGGAGGAGCCACTCCCAGCGAGCAGACATGCTGGCAGCAGTGGGGGGGGTATAGTTTTTCCATGGGGCATTGCTACTTCCCCTCACCAATGACATCATCCAGAAACAGCAGAGAAATGGAGAGCAGCAGCAGCAGCAGCAAGTCATCGCTGATGTCAGGCAGTGCAGCTATTAAAAGGTTTAGTCAGCCTTTCTTTTCACAGGAAGTGTGAAGTACACGTGAAGCGCAACCGCACTGCTCATTATTATCACTTTCATGTGAAAAGTACTTTGCTTTGATTCACATCATTATTCTCTTTGCTATTCCCTGCTATTAATCATGTCTTTATGCGACGTCTACCTCAAAAGTTTCTACCTCATCATGTCTGTGAACACCAAACTCAGCATATATGCTCGATCCCAATGGGAACATGGTGTGCTAGAGAGTTTCAATATTACACTCTGCAGAGCCGTCACTTCAGACTTCAGTGGTTGCTTCAGAGCAGATGTCCCATTCAGCGGTGCAGAAAGGCTCTGCAGACAGGACAGACACCGTTCCCGTAGTGCGAGGTGGCAAAAGCAAGGTTATATTTTACACAGCTTCAGTGGGCATGTTTAAAGGATCTTTTTACTGGCATTTCAAACCAGACTGCTGTTGTTTTGTGAGGTCAAACTGAAATTAATGACGCACATGACCCTATAAATGGATGTGTAATCAGTAGGCTAAAGCAGCCGACAGATCAAGACAGAGGGCAGCTTTCCTCACATGTGTCGTTCCCCTCTGAAAAGTCCTTATTAACTGGTCAAATCATGTTTACAAATTCACGAGGACTCAGACGTGGAGGCAAAGGGAGTGTAATGGGGCAGCTTCATGTTCATTGAATGAATAATACTACATCGAGCTGGTGGATGAAAACATAGCCATGTCTCTGTCTCTGTCTCCACCTCATGGCGCTGTGTGAAATGGCAGAGGGTGTTGAATCAGATTTTAAACTCAATGAACCTCAGTGAAGCAAAGATTCATAACAGTATGGTTTCCATATACTGTTTCATGATTGACTAGATTTTAATAAGATGAAGAAATCTTCCAATTCCCCTAACATATTCTAATATATTGCTGATAAATATGCATCAGATTGCTGAATATAAAAAGGTAGACGACTACAGATACAGCAAGAGATAAGGCATGGGACGTTTTTCTCCATCCGAAAAAAAAATTGGCATCTGCCACAGCGTTGCCATCTTTCATGGTTAGAAGAATCAGGTGTCAGACACATCTCTCACAGGCCCCCCCACCCCCACCCATCTCCACCTCAACTTGCTGAGTGGGCATGTTCTCATGTTCACCGTGTGATTTGGTGTACATCTCGGGCCCACAGCATCGAAATCCTCATATGGAGTCAAAGCACTTCACTGTCTACTTAATCACAATACAGATTGTTCCGGTTCTGGTTTGAATAAGAGATTTCTTATTTATTTTATTTTTTTCAGTCAGTAGAGTCCCCCCCTGGTGCATATGATCTGTCTATGAGGCTCACTGCGCTTGATCAAGTGGGCCAGCCTTTCTCTGTGGGGATTACCCATCAAAGTGAAAAGCAAAAGGTAACGCAATGCCTCCTGCAGACAGTGATTGATGATAGCGCTGTTTCATAACGAATTGCACCCCCACCAACAAGTCTCACATGTGGGAAATGTTAATTGAAATGCTGTGTGTGCAAAGACACGCTTTTCAACTGTGATGCTACCAAGGTGTTACAGCAATAAACTAGAGGGAATTTAGGGAGAAAACTGAGCATGGCGGGAGAAAGTGAACAACCAGATGTCAAACTGCAACCAACTCTGGAGAAAAAGTACTCACCGCAACCTTTGGAGGTCTTGTCTTTCCAACTGCAGGCAGGGTGACTTGGCTGCAGGTGGAAAAGGGGAAACCCAAAATGAATAAACATATGTTCTCTTTTCTTTTCAAATAAGAATATGGATTAAATGTTTATTTTAAATATTTAGATATAAACGTATTTAACGGACAAAAGATCCTCAGTGTTATACCCTTCAATTCTGTTGTTTTCCCTCATTACATCCCTGCAGGGGTTGCAGTGATAATATTGGAGAGCTTTGAATTTTTCTGCACCAACTGCGACATAGTACTGGTTGTTCTCCAGTTCAGTGGGACCGCGGACAGGACGCCCATCTAATGTGCAAAGCCTGAGAACTCGAATACACAAAGACAACAAATTAGAACAATGTTTTGTAATATTTTGATATATTTATATAAATGTCAGTGTTTATATATTAAAGAAACGTTGTTATCTCAAATAGTGTTTAAGTAGTTAAACTTAATGTTTCCATTAATCAAACCAGGTTTAGCCTAAAAGCAGATTTTAGAGTAACTACTGTGAGCACATGACAAGCAGATATGGTCCAAATCACAATTGATTTCCCACATTTATATTACAGCAGCTGATATTCTGTTGACGACTTTAAATTGAAGTGCACCATTTCTGATAAGAAATGTTGGTTGATTCCATTGTGAAACATGACAAAGGACATCATTTGTGTGGATAAGAATGGATGTGTTGTGATTAATGTATTTGAAAGAAACAATACAAAAATATCAACCTATGTTTTACAGTTGGGTGCTATTATTTAATATAGAAACAACTGGAAGATGTATCTCTGCTTTCCCTCACTGGCACATACAACTATAAAGATTAATGTAATGATTTCAGACACCACCTTTGAACAGCACCAGTGCGAAGTCCCACTTTCTCTGTCACCATGGCTAAAGCATGTTCCCAGCTTCTAAGAGTAAACTTTGGGATCCGTATTCGAACTGAAGCAACCAAGACCTCTCCGTTGGTGAAGACACTACGAAACACAACGAAAATGGCACAAATAAAATAGTTGCTTGCTCAAAATGAAAATGCATGATTTATTAGCATAACTACATACACAGCAACAAACATTCTGCTTCCTAGGTTAACTTCATATGCATCGAGCTTAAAAATCAATACTCACTTTATGGTGCAAGACTCATCAGTAGCTTTCTTACAGCGAGCAGAAACTACCAATCTGCTGTGAAAAACAGGTCGGATCTGAAAATGTCAAAACTAGGGGTCAGAATATGCCCCAATGGTGAGTACGGAATGAGGCATTTTTTTAGCGTTTAACTCAAACTCTGATATTACAGGAATTTTTATTTTGTTCTCAGTGCTTGTTGACAATTTTCATTTAGACCACTGCAATGGGTCATGGTTTAGGCTTCAGACACCTTCAACCCTTCCACTAAAGAAAGCTCCATATCATACTATGGTCACACACATAATATAGAAAATAATGGGTAGTGTAGTTTAATTATCTATGCAGTTTAAGTACAAATGACCTAACATTCTAAGTAGTCTTACCTGTTCTTCTTTCTTATGCTGTGGCTTCTTGGTTGTAATTGCAGAATAGCTGAAAGGCAGTCAGAAAACGGGTTAATTACTCAGTCCCAGGCTTCAGGTGCTACATGTAAAACATACACAGATGGTGTTCAAAGATAGCCTGGAAGACATCAAAAGTCAAGTATTACTAGTTATAAAGCTTAAGGTGGAATACTGCCATCAAAAAACATGCTAACAAGCACATCAAACCACAACAGTAGGCTATAGCCTACTGCAAATCCACACTTTAATTTAGATGCATATCGGTAAATGTAAGCTATGAAAATGATTATTGAAATACAAACATGGTTTGAACTATTAACAGACAAACGCTCCCCTAACAAAAAAACAAACACCCACTCAGAACACTACTTTAGCTAGTTTATAGGCCGAAAATAACGCTCAATTTTGGGGCCGAGAATGGAGCTTGCCCTCGGTCACAGTGACCTGACATCCCCGCTGAACCCCACACACACCCTGACACACACTTTACAACACGGTACCTACTCCAGCTTTTTGAAATGCTCTTGCCCGGCTGCAACATACACACTGCCATGCATCAAGTTGTCCAAATGCTGAACCTTGTGGCCCTCTATGGGAGTGTAAATATTTCTGACGGCGAAAGAAGCCTCAAGCCCTCTGGTCAAAAATGTCAGAAAACTGTCAAAAGTTGACAACTGCCGCGGATTTACAACTAATTTTCTTCCGGGAAAGAAAGCGTCTCCGTTTTTGTAGACAATTATTGTTTTGGTCGGTGGCAAATCACATCTAACTGCTGTATCCGGCATAGTTGAAGTTGTTTAAACAAACAAACAAACAATAACGACGCTGGGTGTCAGAAGTAAATGTGTCACTGGCAGGCGTGTTGAGGCTCCTGAATAACTGGAGATAGCATCTGAAACCAATTCTTCTACATGACAGGTGTAGCATCAAGAAACCAATCCACCGCCTGGGTTGCTAGTTAAATCCTTCTGCATGTAACGTTAATTTACTGTTTGATTCTAAAACTGTTTCTAAGGCAACCAGCAGGGGTAAAGGCATTCTTTTTTCAGATGCTTATTCATTTCAGTTCTGTTTTGTAATTGTACTAAATAGTAAATAGCACTACAGCCTATTTAAGATACTTATATAATTTGGCACAGTCCATCATTCTGTAAACTCTGGATTACATGAAATTGATTAAACATCAAATAAACCACATTCAGTATCAGTCCTCTTTATTGATATGCATATTACAGTCTAGCTTTTGCATTATGTGCTTCATTATGGAGTGAATATTGCATTGCAACATAAGCCGGCCCGACCCATTAAGCGACATAAGCGGCCGCTTAGGGCCCCGCAGCCACTAAGGGGCCCCCTAGCAAAAAAAAAATATATATATGTTTTGTTTTTTTTATTTAAAAGAAAAAAAATCTCAGTACACCATCACCGTGATAAGTATGTTTAATTAATTGTGTTAATATGCCTAGATTGCCTACTCTCAAAGTCATGTATTATATTATTGAGTCAATAATATAATACATTAACCGTGCTTTACCTGAACCTCATCATGACACAAGAGAGGACGTCAGGATTGTAATTTCCCGTGTTCAGTGAATGCAACAGAGGCAAGACACCAGACCAACCAGAGAGTTGTATGGAAATAAACATCTGTCTAATTGGCGGACAGGTACCTATCCTGTGAGCTGTGACAATGTTTAAAATAAACAGTCAGTCAGACTCAGTTTTTGAAGATGGACATAAGAAAACATTTTCTTAAAAAATACGACAATTCTCAAGTGGTGGCTCACACAACAACCCCAGAGCCACCACTTGAGCCAGGTAAACAAGGTATGTAAATGTCAGTAAACTACTAAATGATGCGAACATGTAAGCAAAGCATAAATTACAGCTACGTTGACGTTACTTTGAATCGCGGGGGTAAGCTAAACCGTTAGCAAGTAGCTATAGCTAGCCAGATATATTAAATAAACACTTTGTCATACAATCTAAATGTAATATTTTTTAGCGTTACCTGGTAATTTCAAAGAAAGCTCTCTGGTAAACGTTGACTTACTGTTCGACATGAAGCTAGAAGCTACCTTACAGTACACAGTTGATCCGGAGTCCTGTCAGTTAAAGTGTTTCATAGTTAGCTTAGCTAAGCATCAACCTAGCACTGAAATATATGGATGTTATGTGACAGTATTTCTGAGAAAAAGTCAGCTGAAATGGTGGCATAGTTGCCACTGCTTCACGTGTCAACAGCATGTTTGAATGTATTTGCAGCAGTAAATGTGGCTGTTTGGCCACTGACGTTGCCATAACAACACCTGAATTTAAATGTGCAACCTCTTTTTGTGACAGATTTTTGCAAGAAATAATAATTCTTCTGAATGATATTCCTATTGACAGCTAGTTTCTACTGTATGTGAACATTATGAGATGGACAGCCAGAGAGAATAAATGAAAAACAGTATGAAATACTATATGACAAAACAAGAATACAGTTTAAGTGATTTGTAAAATATCCATACAGAAAAATCTGTTTAGAGTTCTGTTTCATATGGGTGTCCATAGATCTCTTAATTTTGCTCTCAAAGTGCACCAGATTGATGCTTTTAACTTCTATATTTAAGAAGTTAAAAGCTGTTCCGTGCTGTGTGTAGTGAGAACGCGCTAGAGTGAGGGGGGCCCCCAAGCCAAAGCTCGCTTAGGGCCCCCAAAAGCCAAGGGCCGGCCCTGCAACACTATAACTCTTAAAGTTATATTAAAAACTTAAATTAAACTTCATTATTTGTTTTTTTTTCATCAAATTTGTGCTGTAGCCTACATGTTCAGGACGACGTCCACTGTGTGGATAGGGATGTTAACAAGACCAATAATACACAGGCATATTGAGCAACAATATATTAATTTGGTATACCATTCACCCCTTTATCACTCCTTGTGTTTGCCTTACCAAATTGTACAGTTTTACTATTTACTCAAATACATGTTTAAAGGAAATTCATGTGTTATGAGGCCAAAAGTAACGATCAACATTATAGTATGCAAATATATTTCGATTGGTGGCTTTAAAGCTGGATATAACTTCAGATACAGTGTGTGTTTTTCTCTTGTTTTCATTAACTGTAGCCATACAGTATCTGCCATTTGCAGGCATTTTTTTTACAACAGATTATCTGCCTGTCCACTGTTAGACAGAGCTGTCCAAATTGTTTACCACAATGGTAACCAGAGATTGCACCAACAATGGCACCTAATTGGTTTAAGCCAGACAACTCCTGGTCAATTAAATGCATAATTCATCCAAGCATTAATTATGCATTTCTTAAGGGACTTGGTGCTGTGCTTTATTAGGAGAACTACATTATGCATATTTAAATTCTTCTTCTTAGAGGGACTCAATAGGATATCATCTCAGCTGGGATGCCCATCCTTAAAAACAATAGCAGCCGGGGCTATAAGACAACTTCTATTAATCACACATTGTTTTCTTTATGCACCAAACACTGTGCTGTCACAATGTTACCAAGTGTAATTAATTTACCATTATTTTAAACCCTCTTGTGTTTATAGAATACATTATTCTTAAATAATATACATGCCAAACTGACAGTATTAATTTAAGTCAGTATCTGTTTAGTCGAGATCATCAGATATAATTCATCACTTAAGATGGAGTCCAACATTTTTCCAAAATAAATAATAATCTAGAGAAATCTCCCAAAAATAAATAACCCATAACAAATAACAGGCAGTAGTAAAAGTATTTTACAAAATGTATTCTACAGTAGTAAAACCACATGTTATTAATACCATTACAAATGGCTGAATTGTATTCTACTTCAGTTCCAAGATCCTACTCCTGCATACTGGCACACTGTTATGGATTACTGGGACAGTTGAATAGAACTGAGCTATCATATATGATAATTTTACCAATTTGACAGTTCATCCTAGTTTTAGAAATGGTTACAATGCAGTACAATCTTCATCCACTTGGTGGAGACTGTCTCACACTGCTGGATTTAGCTCAGCTCACTGGATTAATGTTGTCAGCTCAGGGGCGGAAAATAATGCACACACTCTTTCATCTTAAGTTATCAGTGCATCTTTATTGTATAGCAACAGCCACATCAATTATGGTATGAATAAAGAACGCATATTGTATTCCATTTTTATGATTAAAAGCATGCAACTGGAAACAAAATCTTTAATTTGAATTTTTAATGCACACTACGGCCTTCTGTATTTGCTTATTCGTCTTGTTTGTTGATGGCCCTGTTGCGAATATTGCTGGGTGGATAGTTTGCATTAGATAAAAACTCAATACATTGCCTTGCTTGCTGTTTGAAACACTGATAATTCACAGAGTATGAGATTAAGGGTGTATTAAGAATAAGAACAAATCTCACAGAAGAACAATAACTCTGGATGTTTTGTGGGTTAAGAAAATAAATAGCTTATAGGCGTATAAGGAAAAGTGGAAAATATACTAGATTGCATAACTTGCATGTCATTTTGCCGTCCTATTTACACTTCTCTTCCTAACTTCTGTTCCATTATATGCTTCCAGTCTTTCAGCATTCTCTTTACATAGACTGAACTCAGACACTGTCCTTGTCAAATTCACAAACAAAATACATGGTAGGGTTGCAGGCCACATCCGTCCACTCCCCAGAGGCTACCATCTCAACACAGTCTTCATCATCATACGCGTTGTTGGGCTCTCCCTTCCTCCATTTGCTGAAAGTGGTCATGGCAGAGAGATCCACGTAGGTGAAGACACCCTCCTGGTGCGTGTCATGAATGCCAATGTAGACTCGGTTTAGGCCGGCATCCGTTATGTACCCTGCGATGGCCGCGTTGGCTCCCTCGTCTTTGGGCATGGCCAGGTGCCCTCCCCTCGTCTGGCAGTAGACTTCAGCGTCGGAGTAGCGTTTCTCCTCCTTCACCAACAGATAGACCTTACTGTCCGTCTCTTTTATGCCAGCAACAGCTGCAGGGGAGGGCAGTGCTGAAAAATGAGCACTTGTATTTCTATACACTTCACATTGACATGCCCAGCATTTGAGTTCTATTATGATTAAGTAATGCAAACGTGTGGTTACAAGAACTGTGTATTTAAACAAAAAAAGAATGCTTAAAAGAATCCTACCATTTTTTATGAATTTCAGTTCAGAGGAGAGCTGTGCCACAAGAATGTCCATTTCTCCAATCGTCTTTCTCATTGATGTGCACTCACATGGAACACCTGATAAGGCAAAAAATGTGGGGGGTTACCACATGGTTGTCTTAATTAGTTCTCAGATTTCACCAAATGTGTCTGTCTAATCCAGCAATAATCTGCTTCACAAACTGAATAACACAGTATTAAATCTCACCTGGATCTCCATTAGGGCCTTGTGGACCTGCATCCCCCATGTCACCCTTTACCCCTGAGATATATAATGGAATTGTCCATTAAAACTTAGTTAAATACGTAAAATAATTTGTTGTGAAGTACATTTCTACATTTTCTGATTACCTTTCCAACCACTTGGGCCCACTTTTCCATAACGTCCCATTATGCCTTTCTGACCTTTAATCCCATTATGACCTGAAAGAGTAAATGAGACAGGAATATGTAGTTACTATACAATCTATTTAAAATTCATTATGACTTTCTTTGAATGCATCTTAAAAAATACCAACAATATGAAAGAAGGATAAAACTTGAATTCCTCTACTTCTGCTAAAAGTTAAAATGCTGAGTCTGTGTAGTCTCTTTAAAAAGTATGTGAGCACCCTCTAATCCTCATTAAGGTCTTCAGTAAACACTCGTCCACAGCAGTGGATCATTTCTCGAACCTCTCAACCAAATGTAAACACTCGGCCATCTCTGGATGTCCTGGTAGTGATGTAACAGCACATTATCAGCCAAAGCAATGTGATCTTTACCCTAGCACTTTTTTTGTTTTAAATAGCAGAAGTGATGAAAAAAAAGAACTGTGTTAGTTTGGGTGTATAGTTTAGGTTTCCCTGTTTTCAGAAGCAACAATATACCAATATCTCCAGCTGGACCGAGTCTTCCTGGTCTCCCTGGTGCTCCTTTTAGTCCTTTCTCGCCTGGTTCTCCTATTGCCGAACAAATAATATTAAGCCAAGTATGAACATATTGTGATTTCAGATTTTCAATATATGGCGTGTGTGTGAGAGTGTGTCAAAAGGAATGCCTTTGAGTCCAGGGACAAGGATTTGAACAGTGCAGGACTCCTCTGCAAACTGCTGTCCATACGATGTCTGTAGTGTCAGTAACCTCAGCACAGACATTAGTAGTATGGGCAATAACAACTTCTCTCCTATCATCCTTACATGGGCTGGTTGGTGAGTTATGCTGTAGAAACAAAAGAGTTCCGTAATTAGGACGAAAACTAAAACAGGGGAATCAGAAGAAAAAAAATAGTTTGAGCAGTTAAACAGTAATGATAAGTTAATTCCATAAATCCATGAAGTCATTATTCATAGCATCCAGTTTGCAGGCTTCCTGAGAGAACATACACACATTTGTATAATGTTAATATATGACAAAATAAACAAAAAAGAGCACTAAAAAAAGCATGCTTCTTTCATCCTGAAAAAATGAAATAGTCGTAAAAAAGAAACATAAAAACACCACACAGGCCTAAGATACGAAAGTACGTGTTTTAAGAGAATCCATACTCAACTTATAAATGAATTAATGATTGATAGAAATGGCTATAGAAAGAAACATCTAAAATCACAGTTGCTTAAACCAAATATATATTCAGCTTTCACAAACTTGGCAACCCCTGAGGAGAAAAACAATTATCATGCGTTTTTACAATCTGGCTGGCCTACCTGCAGAGGTGTTTCCAGACGTTAGGAGTGGAGAAGCTGTACAGCCAGCTAGCAAAGACTTGAAGGAGCTTTGAACACTGGTGGTCCTACAGAAACATTTCATGTTCCTCTACAGACAGCACAGAATGTGTGTGATAGGACATTCGTAAACAGTTCACAGATAAAGTCCAAAGCAGCTGGGGCCTCACAGATAATTGGCTGAGAAAGCAGCCCAGTGATTGACGGTGGAGGGGCCCGATAAGTGCACTCACTCAACTTCCAACTCTATCAGATATCTGTGCCTGCAATGTCTGACATGCCGGGGAATTTATTTTAAATTCCAAATCAACAAGTTTCTTTAATATCCCACAGGAGTTGAATCCATTATGTACATTATTTTGGACTGCACGTTCTGTGTAATTCTGTATCTAAGAGTCAACACAAGTTAAGCATTTGGGATTTCATATTAATAAGATTCTTTGATTGTATCATTTCCCCAGAGAGGCTGGTTCCCTGTGATGACAACAACTCTCTAGTGCATCCTCTCTCTTCTCTTTACTCTCTGCTGCAAGCAAGTTAATTGGTTTGGGATTCGGCTTCAGATACAGATCTGCCTGTCCCCTTAGCTGCCACCTGAGGGAGCCATTGTCCATGCATGCACTGTAGTGGAATTGAACTGGCATATATCTTAAAGTGGACCTATCATGCTATATTTGAATAATATATTGTAGGGCCATACCTATATAAAACATGTCTGCGAAGTCTTTAGAGATTTGGGTATGGAGGAAAAGAGAGAGGGTTGTGTTTTCTGACACTTGGTAAGTTCCCTGACACACCGGGACACATATTCATGTATAAAAGATGTACAAAAGTGCATTTTGTATGATAGGTCCACTTTGAATGTACAATGATTAACTGTATTTGCAGCAAATCAAAATTACAGTGAATAAAATAACAAAAATATGTATTCAACTTTAACTCCCTGTGTTTGCATGCTTTCAGTTCTTTTGACCATAATGAAATGTTTGTCATAATTGTACATTAGTTGCTGTTTGGAGGAGTGTGTCCCCCACCCCCGCGATGAATTGTCACAGCATGACATGGTTAGAGGAGATAGTCTTTCTCGTGCATTATTTAGGATGTCATGCAAATACTAACTTGAACTTTTAACTTGCGAACAAAAAAAAGTCATGTTAATGTTTACATGCTGTCATCTAATGTCAGTAATAAGATATGGTCTAAAGCAAGAGTATCAGGTATCCTAATTAGATTTACAAACCCAGTGGTGGCTTTCAAAGGGGGATTGGATGTCTCCTTAAAAGATCCCCCCAAAAGTTTTGGATTACCTGCCTCTCAAATATTCATGACTCTCAAGGCAACACTTGCTGTCTTTTCATCGCAGCCAGTGAAATGGTTGTGATCAAATCCTCCTCTAACTGCAGTTTTATGAACAATCCTGGGATTATCCAATTAAATAGTATAATCATTTTTTTTAAAGTCCTCACATTGACATACTGTTAAGAAAACCTATATTATGCGTATGGCCAAATATTGCCTACACAGTTCCCAGAGACTTTGTTTATAAGTTATTATATATTTAATTTTGAGTTCATTTCATTTAATTTTGAATCAACAACTGATTCACGTGCTTATTTGTAAAGTAGTTTACCATGTTACAATACTTTATGTTTCGTTAATGTGCGTGGTTGTAATGATATTGGTGATATCAAATTATAATTTGCCCAAGTACACTTTCCAATACTTATCGTTATCGTTCCTCTGTTGCACCATGACTGGGTTCATTTAGTCTGACTTTAAATACAAGCAGTAAAATTAACACCCGACACTGAATCTTCCGAGCAGCACTTAAACGCACCTTCAGTGGTGTACAGATTGAGTGACGTCACCAGCGCTCACCGGAGCACCGAGCTCAGCCCGTCATCCCGACAGCCCGCTGCTCCTGTCTGCCCCGGGAAGAGAGACGGACGAAGCTGGGATACTGCTACAACTACACACCCGTATGAGGGACCTTAAACTCCTGTCACCCTTATCGTAAATTTGAACCCCTGAACGTAAGTGTTTTTCTAACTTTTACACTTTTTTCGGCGAATAGTCAGTGTCAAATACAGCCTGAGGTAGCCTACTTTGTATTATATTGACAGGTACGTTGATGGAGTGGTTGGTAAACTCTATTATTTCGCGTACAGTGTATGCTAACTAACTTTTTAAGTTACTTTAATTATAAACAAGCCTGGCCTACATAGTGTTAGTGCCACAAACTCCTACAGTATGAGTCACAATGGTTAATTAATAAGGGACTCAATAACGTTAGTCTTTTGAAGGCCTGCAGAACATGGTTAACTTCATTAAATGATGTCCTGAAGTTATCTCTTCTGTGTGCTTTATTCTACAATTTCAGCCATTTTGACACCCCTCAGTCAATGGTTTCTAAATATGCACCTTTGAAAGTGTGAGCTGTCTTGTTTCACAGTTGACCTGGTGTCTATATCAAAAGCATTTTCCATGTCCTTTTTTCCTGGTAGAGAACAGGAAACAAGAGGCAGGAAACAAGAGGCGTGTTTATGTGCTGCTTTTGCTCTGAACCAGTGTTCATTCATTTGTGTATACACATATATTTCCTTCTCCCTGTACTCCTATGGTCTCATGCCACAACCTTCTGATTTGCATTGTCTCTCAGCTGATTACAGTTTTGTTTGTTAGGGGCGGATCTCACCTCGCTGTCTGGATTAGGGTCAGATACTAAGAGGATTTAGCCCTGCAGAGTCAAAGTTACTCATGAGTAGTTTTATTGGAGCGACTCAACAAAGTAGACATTAGGCTGTCCATCTCCCTAAGTGATATAACAGATTGTTTGAAGGTTTGCTTTGCAAGTAGCACGATAATCCCAAAGCTCTTGGTACATTGAGCAGTGCTGTGAATTACAAAGACAGATGTGTGGTTTATGTGACTGACTTTGCAGCAGACCAACGTCGACTGCTGTTGCTTTATCACAAATATTGTAAGCATGAATGTTGTCTTTATTGTACAGTATCTGGAATATACTTTTAATACCAAGATTGGGAAATCATTTAGGCTTTTAGTGGTCAGGTTATTTTGAAATAAGAACATTTCCTGTATGGACATACTGTAATTAAACTTCCACTGATGTAGGGAACTGTGGGAAAGCTTTGTGGTTATCAGTAATCTAACAGACAAGATCTTGGAGATTCCCCGTAGTCTTCTTCTCACACTTGAAGGTTGAAGATAACAGACATAGAAAGTTATATCCTCCCCACTTTTGTTGCATTTTTTATACTCACGTATGTTTGAATCTGGTTTTTAAAACCAATTGATCAACACTGCAAATGTGTATACGGCATCCATATACTGTATAAGAAGAAGAAGACAGACTTTTATTAATCCCTCGTGGGGAAATAGTTTCTCTGCATTTGACCCATCCTAGTGTTAGGAGCAGTGTGCTGCCATTTTGAACGGCGCCCGGGGAGCAGTGTAGGGAACGGTGCCTTGCTCAGGGACACCTCGGTAGCACTTGGTCTTTCCGGGACTTGAACTGGTGACCTTATATATATACGAAGTCTACGTTTGTGAGAGTTGGAGACGGGGCCTTTTCACTTCATGCAGCCATCTCTAGTCAATGTGTGGAATCTGATCTGTGTATTAAGTGACCAAAACTAAAATTGGCTTTGCTTTCTACAACCACAGTTCGAAAAAGCTTCTAGCATCAATACGTTCAACAGTGGGTCAGTCCTTTCGATTTGTTAAATAATCTTCTTACACAACTGTTGTCCCACCCTTGGCAAAGACATATATTATAAACAAAGATTGTTGCTATAATTAAACATGGCCCATAAAACATTGCATTTAGATAACAGCCAAATACTGTAACTGTCAAAGTCCTGCTGTAGTAAAATAAGAGGTTCAATATTATATATATATTCTTATATTATGTTTTTTGGTAGAGGCATCACCAAGTTTTTGTTAAACATTTGTAGCATACCTTTATTCTTCTCTCCTGACATATCAAATGAAATGTTATTGAACGTGGTGTCTCTGGGACAACATCTGTCCAACAACTGTATTTTATAACATCATCTTTATTGGAGTATTGTGTTACAAAGGCCTTAAAGAGAGTGAGTGACTGGAAGTTACTGTAGCATATTGAAAAAACAAACAGATGTACTGTAGGTGTATAGACGTGACATGACGTGTGCTTGATAATAAAGCAGTAAAAGAGTGCTATGACCCTATTACGGTAATCACTAACATGCAATGAACTCTCTTTTGTTCAGCAAGAAATCAATGGTTAACTAATCTTGAAAAGACGTTATGATGCAAAGTAAACTAATCAGATATTCAAAAAGTTGCCCCGTTTCTTCTCAACTGATATGTTGAGGTCATATCACAAACATTCCCACAAATAATATCGAACAGAAAATGTTGAATAATGCGAGATGTTTGAGGTCCAGCCTCGTCTAGGTCCTAAAGAA